ACATGTATGCCTGGGAAAGAAACAGTCGGCCCCTGACCCACTTGAAAGAAAAGGTCAGAAATGCAGGGAAGGGTTTATCTAGTACCATAAAGAAAAGCACCGTAAGGCCAGTGCTTCCATGTCTTCCAAGGATGAGCTATCTCTAAACAGTATCTTTTCTCCTTTTTTAATCATCCATGCATTGTGTTACTTGATATCAGAGAATGAATAAAAGAAATGGCTATAATTCATTGAACACAAACTATAACTTCCTAGAGACAATGGATATATGAAAGTAACTGTGGCCAGAATTAACAGACATTGCTAGAGTGAATTCTTAACAGACAAGAGAAGGGTGCCATGGTTATTTAAAGTGTGAGACATGGTGAACTGAAGGGAGATAGGACTATTTTATGATGAATATTGTTGGGCAAAATGTTAAGTAGAGAATAATTCTGAGAAAATTGTGTGGCACCATACAGTACTTCTTGTCTGGGCTGGTATGGCTGATTTCTGCTGGGCTGTGTATTGCACCTGCAGTTACCTAGAGATTAAATCAGCGCTAGATGGTTTAAGATGGCTCACTCATTTGGACCCCTTACCTACATGCCTATTGATGTTAAGGCAGTGGTTCTCCACCTTCCTAATGCTGTGACCCTTTAAAACAGTTCCTCATGTTGTGGTGACCCCCAACCATAACATTATTTTCACTGCTACTTTGTACCTGTAATTTTCTACTGTTAAGAATCATGATGAAAGTATGGAGGTTTTGTGATATGGAACCCATGTGAAAGGGTCTGTCAACCCCCCAAGGGGACACAACCCTACAGGTTGAGAACTGCTGTGTTGAGGAGATAACTGAGCACATGTCTCTGATCATCTAGGAAACTAATGCATGTTTTCCCCACCATTGACTGGGCTCCAAAAGCAGCAAGGCAGCACATGCATGTCTTTACTGAGCTTTGCTTATCTTGCTTCCTAATGTCTGTGTGTAGTAGGGTTCTCTGGGAAGCAGAAGCCAAGGCAGTGCTAGACATTTAAGAAATCGATTGCCAAAATGCCAATGGGGGCAAAATGAGAAGGGAACTGAAAAAGACTGACAGTCTTCAAGTACTTAGGAAAAAAGCCAAGAAAGAAGGGAGAGAGGAATAGAGAGTAGGAAAAATCTGAAACTCCATCGCAACTCTAGGAAAGCTTGGCCAGGCTAGTGGGAAGTCCTTGAGTCACCCTGAGCATTCATGAATACGTTCCCACTATAGTTCTGATCAGTATTTGATTACATCTAGAGTAGTCAGCAGTCCCTTGGTGGAAGAATTAGAAAAATGAATACAGAATGCATCTATAGCACTGAGTAGCAGTATCGTTTCTTAAGGATCAGACTGTTTCTGTTGTTGACAAGCAGCTGATCTGAAAATTGGCTCCAATATGGAAACAGAGCAAGAGATCATTACTTTTTATTGGGGAAACTGCTCTCAGCCTCCTACTCCTCTGTTCATTTTTCTTCTTAATTGTAAATAGTAAGCAGTATCATTGCCTGCTGCTCATTATTGGTCCCTAGGAATGACATGTTCTCTTTGCCATATTTGCAGCGCCCTGTGCATCCAAGACCCTTAGACGGCTCTGTTTTTCCCAGCTATTATGATTGTGGCTTCTTGGCATAAGTAATTAAACACCGAAAGCTGGTTTTTATTAATTCAGGCCTGTGATTCCCATGGACATTATTAACTTATCTCTGACTGGTTCTGGTTTGTAGAGAAGAGCTGCCACAAAACGTTTTGGTGATTCAGGCACCCCTCCATCTACGTATTTCTTGATAGTTTTGGTAAATGATGTTCTTCTGGGCACATATACAACCTTGGGCCAGTGACAGTTTCCATCATGACCTATGGTTGCCCTATCCAAAGCCAGTGCTTAAACAGACTTAGGAAATTATAGTTCAACTATCCATAGGAAGAAAGCAAAGCTTCTAGGTACAGTTGATCAGTATTTGATATTGGAATGGGAACCCCAATTTAGGAACATAAGGACAACATTTTGGACTTCAGTGAGTCTAAGTTTATCGCCTTTGTGCTTCATTGATTCCTGGATCATGCTGTCTGCCCATCCCACTGGGCATCCTTCCCAAATGTGGCAGCACAGACCTTGGTGGAGGGGATAGACAGCCTCATGAACAAGAATCAAAGAGTGTTAGTGTCAAGGAGCAATGTATATGGATCAGAACAAGACACACAGGCCTGAGAATATAGCTCAGTGACAAAGCTGTTGCTTACTTACCATGCTCTAAGCCAAGGGTTCCATTCCCAACACTTAAAAGAAAGAAAAGAAATGAAAAAAAAAAAAAAAAAGAGAAGAAAGAAAATCAAGACCAGAAGTGTCTTGGGGAGGGTGAAGTAGAGGACATGGAAGGGCCCTTGATTAAAATAAGAGGCTGGAGGGATGGTTCAGCAGTTAAGAGAGCTTGCTGCTCTTCTAGAAGATCCAAGTTAGGTTCCCAGCACCCATATTAGGCCACTCCCAATTGCCTGTCACTCCAGCTCCAAGGAAGCTGATACCCTCTTCTGACTTCAGTGGACACCTGATTCATGTGCACAGACCCACACATGCACACAATAAAAATAGTCTGGTCTACAGAGTAAATTCCAGGACAGCTAAGGCTATACAGAGAAACCCTGTCTCAAAAACAAAACAAAACAATAATAAAGTGAGAAAGGTACAGTGTTGATAGAAATTGAGGGAGGTGATGAGAGAAATCGTCTCTGGGCTCAATATGGAGGTCCCAACCTGAGCCTTGCAAAAGGAACTGTTCATCTAGTCTTGTATCCCAGCTCCTTTGACTTAAGCATCTTCCAAATCCCAAGTCAAGATATGCTATGACTCCTACCAGTAGCTGCTAAGCTAATTATTGCTCTCTTTTAGTGCATAATTCTTCTCCATTTTCAGACCCAACACTGCTCCAGCTTAGTAATACTGAGATTTAACCCCATCCACTGATATAGCAGCCAGGTAGGGGCAGCTCCTAATCAGAAATACTTGTTGTCTTTTGGGGGTGTGGTGATATTTGCCATATTTTCTGGACACAGGAAGTTCTTGATCATTCTAAACATGGATCTTTAAGCAGAGGGTTCCTGGAGTTTGGGGGCAGATTACCTATGATCCACCTTTCTGTGAGACATCCATTCAAATATCCTGCTATGTTCCTTCCGATCTAGAACCATGACCAGAGGACAACAGAGCTGCCGTGCATGAACAACCGGTTATTTCGAGCGCTCTATAAATGGGAGTGCTGCTCAGTGTGTTAGCTCTGCTGCTGCAGGAGTTGCCCTCTTTGGAAGTTGCTGAAGTAGTCCTGTGGTTTTCTCTCTCACTTTCCCTGCCTTTGCAGAGTGTCAATGACACAGTAACCAACCAACAGTGTCATCTCTGTGGACAGTGTTTCTTCCCATCACTTTGCACATAGGAGGACATTGTTCTACTTAGTTCACTTGCAGTGACATCTGTAGCAGTTGGAGCACTACTGAGTGCCTAGCTTCTTTCTGTACCTAGGTTGTACTAGGGCAGCTCAAACGTGATTAGAATATCGAATTGTTTGCTTACAATTATGAAAACAGATTCCTAATGAGAAGGATTTGCTACTTATTAAGGGTCTTAGGGTTAGGGGATCAGTCACATGTTAGTAAGCCCATTTTGTGGGGTAACCGAGTACTTGCCTCCTCTTACTCTCAGAATCTACACTTAGGCAGCATAATTGCATATGATCATCTTTCTGAGAACTAGCACCTACTTCAGGCTGCTTAAGCTTGTGGTTCAGTGTAACTTGGTCTCTTTATGAGTTGGCGTGGAAAGGTATGTGTATGTATTTACTGATAGTAAACTGGTAAGCAGAATAAGCATCTTAACCAATTCATACTTAAGTTCAGTAAGCCTTAAATTTTAGGCAAACCAGCCTGGCTCTAGAACCAGTATACTCTAATATTTTTTTATTTTCATTTCTATAATTTATTTAGATTTCTCCACTTAAAATATTTAATTTCATGCCTCGAGCTTTTTGTTCTTTGTTTAAATTTTGTTTTTGTTTTGTTTTTCAAACATGATTTCACTGTACTAGCCTAGACTTCCCTATCCAGGCTGGCTTTGAGATCATGGTGGTTCTCTTACCTCAGCCTCCCAAATACTGGGGATACAGACATGAGTCATCTCTAGAAACTACCACATGAAAACTCACTCATCCTTGATACCAAAATGAAATGCTTCCATGACTGAGAAGTTCAGAAATTGATACATTGAAGACTCTGGAAGACATTGTTTTCTTACCAGGAAGGCTATGAGAGTCTGCCCCTGCCTACTTGGTAGTGTTTGCTGGCAATCACTGACTTTTGGGGCAGAAGCATCACCTTCATCTTTGCCTGCTCAGAATGGCCTTCTCTGCAGATAGGGTTATTGAAGATGTAATTAGGGAGTGTGAGGTTCAAATAGGTGAGTAAGTTAAAGACACAGTGCCTCGGATATGATAAGCATTATGTAAGAGCTGATGTCATCACCTTCGATACCAGCACCACCCTACGCAGTAAATAGGCACATTAGCTAGCCCAAGGACCACAGCTGTGTGCACTGTGTCTGGAATATACTAAAAATACAACGAGCATTTTATATTAGGGAAATAATATGCTCTTTTGATATCTTATTTAATTTTATCTCTTAGATAAAGTGGGGGCGTGAGCCCCATAGCTTCAGAAGCATAATACAAAAATGGTTGTTTTTTATATTATGGTTGTTTTTTATATTACTCAGGCCTTGCTAAAAAATGTCCCCTGCTAGGACTTATCTCTTCTTTGTTAAAGCAAGTAAAATTTGGTAAAGCCTTTTCAATTTTTTTTAAAGGAACAAGACTACAATCAGATGGAATTAGTACTTCACCTAAGATGTATATAATTTTCTGAATGATGAAATCAACTGTTCTTTGCACAGCCTATGTCTCATCTGAATATAAGAGTCGATAACACCTTACTTGTGTTTGCTCACAGGTTCATCCCAAATTCCACTATAAACAGGCCCATGACCCTGGTACAGATACTTCTTGTGTGGCTTTTTCCTATGATGGTAATGTCCTTGCCTCTCGTGGAGGTAGGTAAACAGCTTTTTGATGTGTTTCTATAAATAAGAAGATAATCTTTAGCTCTCACAAATGTCAGACTAATGTTTTAGTGCTTACTAAAGTTAGTTGTGCTGTAATGTATCTTTGCCAGTCAGATTTTTTTTTTATTAAAATGTGTTTTCAACTTGGCAACATTTGTCTGTATCAAAATTTACTAATTGGACTTGCAAGATGGCTGAGCAATTAAAGTGCTTGCTCCCAAGCCCAGTCACCTAAGGATCATTCAGTTCCTAGAACTCACATGGTGGAAGGAGAAAACAACTCCAAAGAGTTGTCCTTTGGCTTCTACATGCAAGCTTTAGCATGCTCTTGTATATACATGCAATAGACTCTATATATTCATATTCAACTAAAATTTAGAAATTAGGTTTTTTTCCCCTTTGGATTTTTTTTTTTTATCTTCAGATTTCACAGGAATTTGATCTTCATGGATGGCTTTTGCCTCTGCCTTTGGAATTTTGTAAATGATCACCTACATTCTTTGATTCTCTGTGTATACACATGAGGCAAGCACTCTACCATGAGCCACATCCATAGACCATGGTTTCCTTGAGCCAGGGTCTTTACAGTCGCTTAGGTGTGAACTCAGTAGGCTCGCTTCAAACTCTTGATTCCTCTGGCTCCTCCAGATTCTGGTTGTTAGACAGATGTATATCAACATGCCCAGCCATCCTCTTTTATTTCTTCTCTCCTGCTTTATCATTCCATGCCCGGCATTTTCAATCCTCTGTTTGTTGATCATTGGTGTGTAGTACTCTCCCCCTCTCTGAGTTTAAACACTAACACAATTTAGTTTGGGAGCAGAGATTCCATATCTAGCTGCTATCTGCTGTATTTTATTTTAAGCTTATATATACTCATGGTTTTGTGTTGGTTGTTCCTGATTTATTTGCTACATCCATCTCACTTGGAGGGGCTAGATAACAGCCACGGGGCATGGCTGATGATCTTTCTGTAAACTCACTTGTGACAATACAGTAACATTCCAAAGGGGAATTTTATGAAGTTCTCAGAGTACAAAGCTGTAAGTTCAACCAGGTGTGGATTAGTCCCTGGTTGAACTTACAGTCAGGTTTTAGAGGAAGAGTACCTGTGGACAGAATGGGTTTTATTAACTTTCCAGTCTCTCTTACAACTGATCTTGATTCCTTATTGGACCCAAAGGGCTGATATGGGCACTAAGGAGAAAGGATAGCAGAGACATTACTTACATGAGCTTGGCTCTTGTTCTAGTCAGGAGTTGGTGAGTAGCCCTATAGAAATACAAAAACACTATTCTTAAAAGAATGTTCATTACTCTTTAAGCAGCTTGGAAAAGTAGTACTTTCCCAGCAAAATGAAGAATAATAGCCACAAGTAGAATTACTCTGGGGGGCAAGGAATAACATGGCCTACATCATTAATGTTGATGGATTATTCTACCCACATACTAATGGGAAAAATAATCTGTTGTGAACTGAACTATTTTCAGTCCTGATGGCTCTGAAATTAAGGCCTTCCCAAGAAAGCAGGCTACACTCAGCATACCACAGGGAGCTACCATCTGCTCTAATGTAGAGCTTTGGTGCAGGTTCTGTAGGGCTGCCGACTGATGCTAATCAATCTGGAAAGGAATTGCTAGGAGGAGGACTTAGTATCATATAATTTTATACTATTCTTGCAACTACTACTGCCTTTTCAAACTCCCTAAACAATTAAAAAAGGGAAATGTGCTTAGGTGCACTTGGGTCTTCCCCCTTCCCCCCTTGATCCATCTTTCTTTATTTCTTCCCATCCTCCTCTTTTTATAGTTACATACTGTTTAGCAAACGTTAAGCTGGCATGAGTTCTTCTGTACAAAATTCACTTGTGTTTCCCTCCCTTCATTCCTCAATTAGGTGATGATACATTAAAATTATGGGACGTCCGACAATTTAATAAGCCATTATTTTCAGCCTCAGACCTTCCCACCTTGTTCCCAATGTAAGTTGTGTTATCTTTTCTAACTTAAAACAATTTTTTGTTGTTATGTTTTGCTATATGCATACCTGTATACCACATGTGTGTCTGGTAACCGAGAAGACCAGAAGAGCACATTAGATCCCCGGTGACTGGAGTTATAGATGCTTGTGGGCCACCATGTGGATATTGAGAATTGAATCTGGGTCCTCTAGAAGAGCAGCCAGTGCTTTTAAACATTGAGCCATCCTCCAGGCCCACAAGTAGCATATTTTGTTATTTGATTAGCATAGGAGAACAGAAAAGAAATTCCTTTAATGTTAATTTGCATCAAGTATTTTAAATCTTCTAGGAAAGGGATTTGAGAAGTTTTTTTTTTAATTTTGCACATTTATTTTGAAGACATAAATTATCTCTATTTGCCCATAATTTTGTATGTATATTTGTCATATACACACAGAGGTCATTTGTTATTCACACTGTTTTGTCCGGAATGACCAAACATAGTTATCTCCAGTCAACTAAGTCTGGCAACTGAAGCTTTCAAAGATTATTCTGAGGCAGCTGAGGTGGGATTTAACCTCTAAGTCCTATAATTGGTGCCTAGGAAACGGTTTCTATTTTGGAAGAAGTGAAACTTTACATCTGTGTTAAATAATGACCAGCAGGGAGGATATGAAGGTAACAGAAGCACCAAATGAGAGAAACTGTGTGGTAGCAGCGCACCCACTCCATCACAGCCCACTGCCTGTGCGTTATCTGCTAAAAAGAAAAAGAGCCCATCAGCAATTTAGAATAGATCGGAATGCTGTGAGCCATTACACCTGCTAAGACAATGCCGACTACGTAACTTCCTTGGGTAATGTGTAGAATATTCATGATGAAGGGGCCACGACTCTGATAATAAAACTGTGGAGGAGTTAAAGGCACCAGCTTGTTTCTAGAAGTGCAGCTTCCCTCTCTCATAGAGCTTGACTTGATGTGGCAGACACCATTAGGAGGTGATAGCAGTGATGAGGGCAGTACAAGTAGTTTTGGAAAATGGCCAAAGCTAATATGACTTTATCAGATGTGTTTGTTTGTCTGCAGATACTCCAAATTGAATGTTCCTCACACTCTTTTTACATTAAAGCATGGCATGGCATGGGAATTAAGAGCAGACTCTGAAGTCAGACTGCCTGCATTTGAGTCTCAGATGTATCACATCCTTGTGTGATACTGAGCAAGGCTCAGTTAACCTCTCTGTGTTAGCCTCCTCCTTGGTACAGTGAGGAGAACATCTGTCCCATGACATTATTGTGAAGATTAAGCAAATTATTGAAAATGCCTGATGTGTAAGCCAATGTATAGGCATTAGCTCTTTTATGGGGATGTCTGTGTGTTTTTAGTTCACTCGTTACTGCTGCCCAGTTGTCAGAGCCATGAGTTTATACTTATCAACTCTTCTCTGTGTAGGACCGACTGCTGTTTCAGTCCTGATGATAAACTCATAGTCACTGGTACCTCTGTGCAAAGGGGATGTGGCAATGGCAAACTTGTCTTCTTTGAGCGCAGGACTTTCCAAAGGGTGTATGAAATTGACATCACAGATGCGGTATGTATCTTCTTTGTCTATCTAGTCCTGAGAATGAGGTGAAGTTAGCATCTGTTCTTTTGAATAGAACACCAACTCTGGCCTCTATAGTACAGTGGTAGTTTCTTGTTTTCGCTAACAGAGACTTTCGTTTTTGTTTTTCGAGTCAGGGTTTCTCTGTGTAACAGCCTCGGCTGTGCTGGACCTCACTTTGTAGACCAGACTGGCCTTGAACTCACAGAGATCTGCCTGCCTCTGCCTCCCAAGGGCTGGAATTAAAGGCATGTGCCAGCATGCCCAGCCAACATTAGACTTTTTACGACATTGCAGGTTGGCTGGTCTACACTGTCCCTTTTCCCTCAACACGATCCTTTCTATAGACTCAGACTTTAGCCAGAAGTTCAGCAGAGCCTGTCTTGTCTTTCTTCCAGACTGAGGAAGGATGAGGTTGGTGGTCATGGAGTACACAGAGAGGAGTGGCCTACAACCTGTGTGCTTCCGTGCAGCTGTGAAAGGTCATGCTTTCAGACAGAAGGAAGTTTATCATTGCTTCCTCAGTCTTTAAAGACTTTGAAAAGACTCTGCATGCGAAGATCATAGCAATAAGAGAGGACTTACCATCCACTGAACTTAGAAACTTTTAGTATTTGGAAGTTTAAAACATTTATATTTAGCTCTGACATATTTTTAAAAAGACCCAGACCTTTAGTGTTCTATGCATATTTATATAAACACTAAGATGTTAGCATTCATTCATTTGTTCATTCATTCACACATGTGTGTCCTGAGATTGGAGCTATGTGGAATGTAATAATGATGAATGTTCCAAGAAGACAATTTGAATTCTTTAAAGGTGTATTTTATTATTTAGATGGTAAAGCAAATCATTGTAATTTTCTGAGTGTGAAATAGGGCAATTAATGTCTGTGCCACTTTTCTCTGGCTCAAATCCTTCCTAATACCGCAGCTCACACAGTGTTCTTCTGTCGCTTTCTCCAGTTGTTTCAGCTCTTTGTAAACAGTTGAGACATATTATAGACTTAAGTGATTCAGACAGTTGAACAACTGTGTTCCGTCACCAGCACAAAGCTCATGTCGCTAACGTCTGGTATTACTGTGGGGTCTTAATGTGTAGGTCCCCGATTTGAAGCCATGCCAGCCTTTGAATGTCACAATGTGAAGTAGCAGGGACCCCGACTCCAGTCTTATGGAGTCTAACATCATGACTTAATCTGAAACTTCCTAGTTCCTGAAATGCTGTTTTAGGGGTACATCTGGGAGCCAGCAAAAACACTAAAATCAAAGGGAAATAATTGACTATATCAATTTTAATCTCAAAAAGTAAAATTTCAGTATTCTTGTATGAAATTCCCCCAAAATGTTTAAAAAGTAAAATGATTATAGTTGGTTATTTCTGAAGTAAGCTGTATCTCTAAATGACTGTACATTTCCAGTACTATTCTTGGTGCAGTGTTTTTAAATTATAATTTAAGTTGAACTATAAATAAATTAAGGAAAATATAGGTCGGCTTGCACGTTAGACATGTTGGGCTTCATTTGTTTGTTGAAAGAACATACTGTTTGCTAGAAAAATCTGTGTCTCATAATGTGATCCTGTTTTCTCTCTGCTGCTTTTCCTCTCCATGGCACTTTCATCACCTCATGTTATATACTCATTTGCTCTTCAAGTCTTCAACCAGGTTCTAAATCGCATGCGGGTAGAAACATTGTTTTCTTCTCTGTGGAATCCTTGGGGTCTGCTGCACAGATAACGTTTGGAAAGTACAATAATGCGTAGTGCAAAATAAAGTTGTGTCCTTAAAAGATGAAACAGGACAAAGGCTTTTTGAGTTATGGAGATGGAATTGAACTGGAATACCAGAACAATAAGTGATTTTATTTGGTGGCCATTTTTTAAAAACAAGGAATGACACATTCAGACCCAAGTTTTAGAGTTGTTGAAATGAAAGGGTTAGATTTACAAGATTGGTGAGCATTTGTATATGAAATGAGGTTTCTATCGCTAAATGTTCTCTGAGATGATTTATCTTAACACTGGGGATATAGCACAGTTAATAGTATGCCTGTATAGATGCATAAATCTTGAGTTTAGTATCTAGAACTGAATGGTATAAACTGGATATGAGGGTGTATGCCTGTGATTCCAGCACTCAGTTTTGAGTAGAGGCAGGAAGATCAAAAATTCAAGAACATTCTCAAACATGGAGTTTGAGGCCTGTCTACTGCCAAAACAAACTTATGTATCTACCAGTATCTGTAGCTTTAGGAAACACACTGTTGTTGATAGGAAAATTTAAGTTTTTATTATATTTTGGGTATAGATTTTTACTATAGATGAGCAAATGAGTTTAGTGCATAAGAAAAAGTACACACAGTTTTGGGAGAATCATTATAATTCATAGCTGAAATGGTTGCTGATGAGTTGATAGGAAAGGGTATAGAAGATTGAAAAGATTCCTTAAGTAATAGCATACAAAAGGAGTGAGCAAACCAAGAGACATTAACAAAGGAAAAAGTTCATCAAGTAAAGTATATGTTATGACGAGTCATTTTGGAGAAGCAAAAAAGCAGATTTTCAGATCCATTTGAATAGACAGTTGGAGAGAGACGTTGAGACATGGACAGAACCCCACAGCATGGGAAACCCTCTTTAAATCATTGATTGAGTGGTGGTGATGAGGGTGTGTTAGCATCAGACAGCCTAGTTGTCTGTTTATGTAGTAGAATGTTAGGCTAAAGTGGCTTTAAACTGCCCTTTTGACCTGTTGCTTCAAGTTTTGCCTTCCTGGAATGTAAGAAAATAAACACATCCCTTGGAATAGATAAAGAGTGGACACTTTGCTAGCAGAGTCAAAAGGAGTGAGGGACCACTTCTTGTATTGTATTGTGTTTTTGTTATTAAAGCTCAGCAGTCACTATTCCTTTAGGAATTCCATGATTCAGTCGAGTGAGGAGCTTCTTGTTGAGTTTTGATTTACAATAGTCTTAGTACTAACAGTTGGTACTGTTAGTGAATGCCAGGCAGTGGCATTTAATGTACCCTAGATGTGTCCATTTACCTTAGCAAAGCATGACTGGCTTTATTCTTCCAATACCCTCTCCTGAAACAGAATAAACACTTCAGTAGTTATAATCTAGGACAGGAAGCTCAACATAACAATGTGGACCCAAATATTTATAACCAAGAGATGTTGATCTATGCAATTAAAATCTTATTGACTAAATGTGGTCTATAATCTTTGTCCAAAAATAGCCTTTTAAAATATAGCAGGTGCAGGCCAGCTACATGGGTCAGTGGATAAGACACTTGTTGCACAAGTCTGATGACCTGAGTTCAATTCCTGGAGCCCACATAAAGGTGGAAAGAGGGAGTGGAATCTACAAGTCATTTTTTGACCTCCACATGCGCTCCATGGTATACCCGAAGTGAATTTCCATCCCAACAATAGTAATAAAATGTAGCAAGTGTATTCTTCATGTTTTGTTTGAAATTGTTTTTAAAACATCTTACTTTAACTCTGCTTTGTGCATTTGTCACAGTCTGACTGTTTTTCTTTTTGTATTTAGTGTCGACTCACCATGGAGACTCTTAGCTCCTTCAGTAGGAGATGGCAAATATTTAAATTTTATTATTTTTATTGCTTTCAACAATGTTTGCACACATTTTACAATGCAGGTGCAGTTATTTTTTGGATGCTTCCTTTTATCCAATTGTACACCCCCATACACATACAGATTACACACACACACACACACACACACACACACACACACACACACACACTTCTTGTTTAATTCTTTATGACTTAACTAGTAGGCTTGGCCTATTTCTAAGATGTGTTCCAGAATGTAACTTATAGATGGAATCTATTGTTTGTTTTTTGTATAGGTACTCACTGTGTTAGCCCAGTCTGGCTTGGATCTGTGTAGTCTAGAGAAATTCCTTGACCACTATCTGAATCCTTCTGACTCAGCTTCCTGAGGGGGTATCCTAGGCCTTTCATAACTTGAATTTTGAGTTTACAAGCTCACTTTTGTTTTTGTGTACATAGGACCTTAATGCTTTTTAGATGTTACATAAAAGGCTTCCCATTTTTTTTTTTAATGCACAGGCAAAAAGAATGGATAAAACAAAATTTGGAGGTAACAGAAGAAATCATAATTATTAAACCATTCATATGGAATTATTTAGAGACATTCTTTGAAAAAATAAAAGTTAACTTCATAATTTTTCATCAAGCTGTAATTTATTGTAAAGTGACTAGTAGAATTGTCTTTTAAAGTAGAAAATGTAAAAGTGAGCATGTTAGTATTAGGACATGGTTTATTCAGTTGTACTGTGCTAACACTTTTACAAATTGAATCTAAGAATGGTTAGTAACCTGGCTTTTCTTCATCTAGTTTGTTTCAGGAATAGTTTAAAAGAGATAGCTGACCTTCCCGAGGTAGAAGGAAAATAGTGGAAAGGAAGGACAACCCATTTTGCAGCTGAATCTTCCTTCTTTTCTAGTTTGTTTCTTTGCTTAGGTATTGTGGTGAAAGGCCTTTGCTTTTTTATAAAGACTGGATGAGCAATGTGTGGATAGTAAAGAAAAAAGAAGAACACTTTCATTTTGGAAAGAAAAAACAACAGCCCATAGCATCTAGAACCACCAATGTAGCACATGGCTTCTTGGGTGAGGGAAGGAATTTACTGGGTATTTTATATATATTTCTTTCTACATGTGTAGGTATAATCTGGTCAGTCAATATAATGTTACTTATTTCTATATGATTTCAGGGCTGACCCCTTGGCATTAGATAACGAATTGGAAGGCTCTTCCCTGGAGAAGGGTATTTTTCCTGTTATCAGCATTTCTTAGTTGCCAGTAGTTTTTTTTTTGTCTAAGGTTAGGGTACCATGAGATTTCCCCTTTCATCATAGCGTGTCCATTGGCTCCTCCTTGTTCAGGTCTCATTTAGGCAGGTATGTTGTTGAAATTTTGGAGATTCTCTGATAT